TATATATATATATATATATATATATCACAGATATATATATATAGCTAATGAAAATTATTATTTAGTTCTTTAAACTACAATTTTGCAGATAACTCTTTTTTAAAAACTATCTGGTTTGAAGTGTTTTAAATTTGACAATGTTTTATTATTGATACTTTTTATTGTATCATCATGCTGTGTGAACTTGAAAGAAAGTAAAACTACTTGACTGAGTAGCAACATTGTAGTTTAGCCTCCAATGATAATGAAGGCATTTAAATCCTTTGTAGATAAAGCCAGATTTTCTCTGATATTATGCCCATTGAGTATATTGATATATATTTCATTCAGCGACTTGAAAAAGCAATATATAAATGGCAAAATGTTGTGGTAAAACAGTTTTTCTAAGCAATTTTATTACGTGCCTTATGAGGCCTCTGCATTCAATCAGCAAGAGCTTATTTTAAGATGGAAGCAAGCCAGCCCTTTTGTCTTCTGCAAATAGGTTTGCTGAACTCAGAACCAATTCGTTTTAAAATATTAATTCCAGCTTAAATTTCATTTATGGACCAAAGCCAACTTTGCTTGTTTACAGATGATAAAACAAAAGTCAACTTAACTGTCAAGTCAAAGACAAAACAGTACATAAAGATTAGGTCTTTATGAGCTCAGTAAAAACAAAAAAATAAATCTGTCATTACAAAATTTAATGGACTTTCCTAAATAATAGAGAAAGCATAGGCTTTGAATGCACTAGGTAATTTATTGAATTCTTGGCAATTCTCATTAATGGATTTTAAACAGCAATACTAAAGGAACTTTAATCTGAAATTAAATGGAGTCATTTGTGATTACAGGAGATAATAGTTGCTTAGGTAGACATGAGACAGCTACTGTCCGGTATATTAGTAAAGTCTCCAAATTTTTTTGGTTTCTGGTGACCTCCTGAGCCTTAGCCTTTTACAGAAAGTTTTTATCACTTTACAGGTTAGTTTACAGTCCTGTAAACAGTCCTGTAGATCTCCCATCAAAATTATAACCAGGGATGATCTGGCACAAAGCCACCCAGGTGTTGTACCTGTGGAAACAAAATGTGCCTCTTTTGATTCCAACTTGACTCCTGATAACTTCATGGAAATGTCCATGGAGTTTGCCACACAAGAGTATAGAAATGGTTTGCCAATATCTTCTTCCAGGATGTTGCTTTCCATAGCTTTCAGGTTTTGTCTTTATCACCTTTGATTAATAATTATAGAAATAGCAATAGCACTTAAACTTACAATATATACCGCTTACCAGTGCTTTACGGCCCTCTCTAAGTGGTTTACAGAGTCAGCGTCTTGCCCCCAACAAACTGGGTCCTCATTTTACCCACCTCAGAAGGATGGAAGGTGAGCCAACCTTGAGCCTGATGAGATTCGATCTGCCAAACTGCTGGCAGCCAGTGATCAGCAGAAGTAGCCTACAGTACCACTGCAACACCATGGAAATTATGGGAATTAACCTATATGTCAGAGCATTTCTTATTTGTCGGGTCTCAGAAGGTTAGTGTGGGAGAGAAGATGTGTGGGTATGAATGCAAGTATGTTTGTCTCTCTCCCTCCCCCTGCCCCCTTTCTCACCAGTTATTTCGGCCAAACTCATAATAGATAAATCTATAAATCTTTTCACTGGCTACAAGATTTATTTTTATACTTGAAGCAGTTTCATTAACTGACTTCCAGAGCGACATCAGTGTTAATATTTTCCATGTGTTTTTAAGTGTTACGTAATATACAGGCAGTCCTCTATTTATGACTGGTTGCTTAGTGCCCGTTTGAATTTACAGTGGAACTAGTCGGCTGCTATTTATGACCCGGATTCAAAAGTCCAATTGTCACTCTCTTAATAGTCAATGGATCAAATTTCAGGTGCTCAACAACCAGGCTGCATTTACAGCTGTTTGCATTGTCCCATAATCATGTGGTTGCAATTTACAATAGTTTGGCAGAAAACTGGCAATTATTTTCAGGTTTTAGCAAAACTGCACCCATAGTGAACCATTGGCTCACTTAATGACCATGGCATTCACTTAATGACAATGGTGGCTGCTTTATGACTGTGGCATCCATATTAAACCCATGCAAAAAAAAAGGTCACAAAATAGGTCAATTACATATCTAATCCATTTTATGACTGCCAAAATTTATGACCATAAAGGGCAGCTTCCATTATGGTAAAAAAATCAAGGACTGTCTATAATAAATTTCATTTGCTTGATATTCTCCGTAAATGTATTTTTAGGTTTTGTTAGAATTAATTCTTTCTTTCAGAGCATAAAATAGCAATAGCAATAGCAGTTAGACTTATATACCGCTTCATAGGGCTTTCAGCCCTCTCTAAGCGGTTTACAGAGTCAGCATATTGCCCCCAAAAACAATCCGGGTCCTCATTTCACCCACCTCGGAAGGATGGAAGGCTGAGTCAACCTTGAGCCGGTGAGATTAGAACCGCTGAACTGCAGTTAACAGTCAGCTGAAGTGGCCTGCAGTACTGCACCCTAACCACTGCGCCACCTCGGCTCTTATAAATACCACATGCATAGGATAATTAAGGCTGAGAATATGCCTAGTTCATATTTACTTAGATTAGAAGCTCCATTGTTGATGCTGGGCTTGGCTCTAATTCTCAATCCAACACTTTAAACTCCACAACACCTTAGATTGCTTCATAAGCATTGATGCATTGATAATTATTGTCATATTTTCTATTTCTCTTTTACAAACAGAAAAAAACACATATTAAAATTTATTTAACTGGGATGATTTAACAAAGCTAAATAGAGTCTAAAAAAATAAATTAGACTAGCAATGTTTGTAATTTCAGATTGATTACAGATAATTTAATGTAGGTAAATATATTATATAATGAGTAAACAATTTCAAAAGCCTGATTTAGAGAATCTTAAAACAGGATGACA